CCTGTGCTGTACATGCTGCAGCAGTGTTACTGCACACAGACAGTGATCTGCAGTGTCAGTCTCCTGCACTCCTGTGCTGTACGTACTGCAGCAGTGTTACTGCACACAGTCAGTGATCGGTAGTGTCACTTACTTCACTTCCATTCCTCTGTGTCAAGGAAGAGTAATGTACAGGCAAGGGTGCCTGCAGGAAGACATACTGTACTGTAGCACGAATGTTGTATACTGTATGCATGACGGGACACAGTGATCGATGCTTTACTGAGACAGTCTGAGTCAGTGGCATATCTAATGATATTGTACACTTCAGTAGTGATTCACTTGGATCTTTCATAAATCTGATTACTTTGATCAATATGCTTAAAGACACTTCACAAACATTGATGCAGTTAATGAATAGCTCTCCACAGATGTCCTTCTCACGATCGACGGCTCTGAATTCTATTTTAGTAAATAGTACTCCCTCCTTGTGTTCTCTCTGTGCTCCATTCCCCTCCTGCTATGTGAGTGTTGTTCTATTGTCATAGCTCTAGTGCGGTAACGGGAAAGGGATTTTTCTAAACATCATCGTGACCGTCGTGTACTACCTCTACACCTATACACGTACGGTAATACTGGCTCCCATAATAATGGGAATTAAATGGCAACAGCTCAAGCTTATAAAGTGAAGGAAAGTGAGGTGTCTAGTTCGGGATGGGAAAAAAAGATGGAGACAGTTCAGGGGAAACCTCTCTTTTTTGCAGAACACAAACATTACAGACTACACTTTTCTAACAGAAATAGAAGAAAGGAAAAGACAGAGCATGGGGAGGCGGTCCAGCAGTTTGGGAATCAAAGCAAAGGCAGATCTCACTCCTGCATCTTTCCTCCTCTCGTCAAGTTGTAGCTGGGTGCCCTCTGCAGATGATTCTTTTTTTCCATTGCATAATTTCATCTCAGTGTATGTCATAAATAATGGACTCTTACCGAGAGGACAAGCACTTCAAAGTGACCACAATTCATGTTTAGAAGCCTTATTTATTTTTACTTCATATGTAACATTCAGATTACCGTTCCAAAGAGTGGTGCTGAAAACTCAGACAGTTATGGACCCAGCCCTTCTATTTGTTGAATGAAGCTTCACCAATATGGCTGGGCAGCTCCTGTTTGTTAGCATTACTATAAAAATATACAACACTTACATGGAACATAATGTGTCTTATATACAACAGCAACCTCTTTCTATAAAGAGGCCCCTGACCGGTCAGCATGTCCAGAGGTGGCAGATTTCAGTGGTGTGTCCCTGACTGGTCAG